TTCTCTATATTCTGCCGGGGACGCCCGCCTCCCTCGCCGAGACCGAACGATTGCATTCGGCAAATTGTGGTTCAAAGGCGCCTCCGAGGCTGTGATTGTCAACCTCGCTTGCGTCTCCTCCTCTGTCTGTCCGCGTGCACCGTTATATTATTTATTTACTTCGTAAAGGAGAGCCAATTAAAAACGTGTTAGCGCGCGTCCGCGATGACGTATAATCCATTTAGGTTCCTCAGTGCCACAGAGAGGGGGGTTATGAATTTTTACATTTTTTTTAATCCATTGAGCGTGCTACGTACATGGCGCATCGCTGCATGGAACTTCAGAGAGGGCTTTGCTCGATGCAGTGAGCGCTGTGACGTACGCGTTGACACGCATGTATTTATAAACATATACCCATGTATGTATGTATGCACGCATTAATGTTTCATAGGCGCATTAACGTCACGTGATGTTTTCTGCCATTAAATATTCACAAGGGGGGAGCGGTGGGGCAGTGGTTAGGGCAACGCGCTATGAACCTGTTGACCCGAGTTTGATTCGCAGGCATGGCTGACAGCGGTGGCGAGTGATGGCTAAATAAGTCCTGGCCACGGCCCCCTCCTTCATCAAACCGCATTGAGCTGCATTGGCTTCCGGTTGCCGAACGAATACGTGGTGAGGTCGCACTCATTGCACACAAAGTGCTTGCCACAAATGAACCACGATACCTCGCTGATCTCGTCAAGGAGCATAAACCATCACGTGAATTCCGGTCATCCTCGGGGTTGTTTCTGCAGAGGCACGCGTGCTGCGTCATGAACCTGCTGGCCTTCATTTGATTCCCAGACATGGCTAACATCTGTCGCGATGGCTATCTGGACAGGTCCAAGCTCTCCTTTCACCAACTCGCACTGACCAGTGCGGTGAAGAGTAGCCTAAACAACACATGCCCAACGCAGCATGGTGCTTGCCGTCCTCAATACGTGAATAGGGAAGGGTTTTAACGTTACGTTTTCAACAATTTGTTTAATTCTAAATATTCACAGTCTGGGATGCAGCTTCATTGGCGGAGTAGTGGGCCTCTCAACTGTCACATTCTGAGTTCAAAACCGAGTTTTGGTTGGCTAATCCCATCATCGAGGTCTATCTGGGATCAATAAAGTGAGCACCAGTTAGACAGAAGCCACACTACTTTGAACAGGAAGGCCAACATTGGCCATCCTGCAAAGAGACTGGTCGACACCTTAGGAATGTGGAATTTACAGCACCGGCTCACGGGGGTGCTGGACACTGACAAGGCGTCTGAATGCCTGGATTGCGCAATCGTGGCCGCAGTGCTGAATGGACGGCGCCGGGCAGCGATGGCGATCACGACCAGGCGCCCCCAGCCTTGTGACAAAATACTTGGAGCATGCGGTCAGGTGGCGTGGCTCTTGAGTGTGCAGGCAGGGCGACTGCACCGTCCGTAAACTCCTCCCCCCTCTCCCCACGGCCTAGGGACGCCGGGTAACGAGGAGGCAGGTGGGAGGAAGTGGCCCCAGGATGGCCCGGTCCCATCGCTTACACGAGGGCCCATTCCAAAAAATCTCTGCCACTGCACGCGATGGAGCATTGCTCAGATCCATCACGAGCATGACAAGTGTTTCGCGTGCGTAGCGATGGCGTTACGCCCCAGCCACGGGCACCGTTGCCACTGCGATGATGTGCGCTGTAAATCTGTGATGAGCGTCGGCGCGTCTTGCGGTTGGTCCGCGACGAGCGTCGCGCATCTGTGACGAGGTCGGGCCCAGCCTGCAGGGCAGCGTGCGGCCGTGGCCAACGAGTCTCCGGCGGCGAGCGACGCAGCGAGCGTTTCCCCAGCCGGCTCGGCTCCAGCTGCGACGAGTTAATTAGCGAGGCGCCCCCTGCTCAACCGAGCCAACCCTAATGGCGTGGAGGGGCTTGGGACGAGGCAGAGGGAAAATCCCGATGTTTTTTTTTCTTTAACACCCCCTTCACAACGAACATCTGTTTCTGCTCCGCCCTGAGGAATATTTACGTGTCAATTGTCAAATCTCGTTACCAAAATGGGCCCATAATTGTGGAATTCAATGAATAATGCCGATTAATGAATATCTTCAGCACACACAATGAGCTCCATTAGCAACATCCGTATTCATTAGCGCCGTTTCACAACGCGTGCAATGCACATAAATGGTGGTGGAACAATGCGCGCCGGGTTCTGGCGCCCGCATGATTGCTCACACGCCGGGTCAATCAGCTTTGGTCAGATTTCCCCATAATGTCCTCTGACCTTGAAAGGATCCATACTTTGCGTCCGCCATTAAATCGTGTCCTTTTGGAAATAAATTGGTTAATGCCACCTCTGCCATGCTTGTGTAAGTTGTATTTTTCGTCCGTAAAAATGTGTGGACGTTTGATTTGAGCTCTTTTGCTTTTTGCGCCATCGAAGGTGTTAATCCGTTACGCATTAATCCTCGCAGTCGAATCTGCGAGATGTTTGACAGCTCTTCCCTCGGACGTGTGGTTTTTCTCCAGGCGCTCCGCGTGTCCGCCTATGACTGCGTCACCTTCAATGTTGCCCGATCTCACGAGACCTCAGAGGCCAAGCAGGGAGTTTGGGCTTTGTTAGTGCTGGAAAGGAAGGCTACATGGGAATAGCAGGTCTCATCGGCTTGGACGACAAGGGGGCAAGACAACGACGCTACAGAAATGGATTATTAAATCTATCCGTGCGGAACTTGGAGCGTTACTTTATCACATGCGTGGATACGTTCGCTCTCTTCCATAATTTCCAATCACTCATTAATGGGATGAGGCAAACGTTCACAATCCAGGATCCTCCTGGAAAAGAGTTATGAGACTCATGAAGGCTTTCATTGACAAATGTATGTCCTGACTCTGCCATTCATAGCATGTAGTCGTCATAAAACTACTAACTATTTCTAAAAAATATATATAAACTATTTATATTTTACAAGGTAAAACCCACTGAGCTATGTAGCTCTTTTTCAGAAGCGACCTGGCCACTAACGATAGCTTAACGAAGTGACAGTCAAATACTCTAAACGCATGTCGATTCTAAATGTGGAGGGAAAAAACCAGAGGATCCAGAGAAAAATCCACGTGAACACGGGGAGAGAGACACGCAAACTCCATATACTGTATACAGGCCGTCAGTGTTGGGATCGAAACCACGAACTCCAGCATTCCAGGCGAGGGAGTTAACATCTCCTCGCCACCGCGGCGGCCCATCATCATCAGCAGCCATGATCAATCCACTGCTTGATAAATACCTCCCCCAGCCATCGTCACTGTGCCATTAATATTGCGTGGTCGTTAACGACCATTGCATGGGGTGCTAAATACAAGTGGCAACAAAAAACGGATCCGAGCGTGCGTGCGCACGTGTTAGCGCAGCAGCATGCTTGCAAATGATGCCTTAGCACAGCTGCCTCGGGCCTGGTCCACAGGGCTACGAGGAGGAGCCTTTGGATTTTAATTGCGCGGCGCGATGGTGCAAATGGACGGAAGCGACACCGCCGTCAGCAGCCCGTGGCATGCCAAAGAAGCCGTCAGAAAAGCCGTGCATGACTCAGTTCACGTTCGAGAAGCTGGGGAAACAAGCGGTGAGTCACGGCCCGAGGGGCTCATTAAATTTGGCACATCTCTCCTCTCGAAGCAGCGGAGAAAAATTTCTGTTTTTACGTAGATATGTAAATTTGACAACACCGCCGTGATGTTTGACGGTGAGCACGCTCGACTTGCAATCCGGCGTTTGTGTCTGTGATCTATCTGTCAGAGCAGTTAATGTGCACCGATTGAAAACTTTATGTTGCAGGCAAATCGATAAGCTGCGTTTCATGACCAAATTCGGTTTTTTCCCCAAAAGCAACTCCTTCTTCCCATATTCGCCTCCTGTTTTATTTATCGTATTTTCGATCTCAATTTCATTGTTTTCATGGCGATGATCAAACCAGGTAGGCACATTCCGCTGTGTTCTACCCAGCCATTAAATGGTTGCTCATCACCAAGGACTCTGACCGAGCTGAACTCGGCGGCATGTGTCAGAGCCACGCCGGCGAGACATTGGACAGCCCGGGGGGGGGGGGGGGGGGGCGGCAATCCACGCAACGACACCGCAACCATCGCTCCTCAACCGATCGCCTCTCAGCACGCACGCTTCTTCGAACGTCCACGGTTCGAGAGTTCCTCCGATGGGGTGGTTATGGGGTCGGCGGCAAGAAACAACGATAGGCGTTCGACGGGTGACCTTTGAACTCTGCTAAATCCCCCCCCCCCCCGCCCAAGAACAACGCAGCCTAGAAAATTGCAGCCATCGCTTAACAAAAAATATATATATACAAGCCAACAAAATGGCTCGGCACGCTTTTAAATAAAAACAAGATATGATGGCGACGATAATAATAAAATAACGAGGAGGGGAACATCTCATCGCCACCTCCTCACGCGAAAAGGTTTCGCTGGGCCCCTGACAGCTCGCTCCTCCTCGCTCGGACTCGCGGGCTCCTGACGAACACGGCCCGTCATTGCGCGGCGAGGAGGCGCCCCACACCCCCACCCCTGCCCTGCCGGAGGCCACCACGTGCACTCGTCAAAAAATGGTGAACCAGACACGCTGGTGGGTGATTGTTTGGTGGTTGTCGATTGCAGGTTGTGTGGTTGCGTGGTTGGTTCGCGGGTGGTTGGTGGGTGGGCAGGTGGGTCGGTGGGTTTGGTTAGTAAGCATTGTGTGGATGAATGGTGAGTGGGTGGGTGCGTTGGTGGGTCAGTGGTTGTGTGCTTTGTTGGTGGGTGTGTGAGTTGATGGTTGCCTAGCTGTATGGTTGACTGATTGACTTGTTGATGCAGTGGAGGATTGATCAGTTGGTGGGTGGTTAGGTGGTTGGTGGGCAGGTGGTCAGTTGGTAGCTTGGTGATTAATCAAAGTCATGTTTGAGTGGCTAGCTGGTTGATTTATTGGTGGACGTGGGGGTTGTGGCAGGAGTGCGGGAGGGCACCTGTCATCAAACACCTCCCCATCCTCGCTGGGGGGGCGGCCGGGACTCGCGGGAGCCAGGTCCAGCAGAGGAATCTCCGTGGCGACGCGAGCATCGTTGCCCTTCCTCTCGCCGTCGTCCTCCACCAGCCGGGAGATGGTGTCCAGCTCCATGACTGCGTTGGTCAGCCCGCTGGGCAACCTGGGGTCAAAGGGCAACAGAGGAGGCAGGATTGTCCGGACGAGGGAATGGTCAAGGGTAAAGACGGTCACTGCCGCGCGCGCTTTCGGATGCGCTTCTGCGGCCGTCTGGAAGCTTCTTCCTTCCGATAAAGGAAGCCACTGGAACAATGGCACTTTTAAATCATCTTAGATTGAAAACGCATTTTTTAGCACTGCTTTTGGTGCGTTAGTTTGTTGTTCTTCTCACGCACCTCCGATTAGCACGGTTCGCTATGTACAGTGGAAAATAAATTCAGCGCACACACGTGTGCAAGGGGTGACGCGGCCAAGTTGGCGTGGGCCCCGGTGCAAGAAATTAAATTGGGGAAGCCAGTCCAATTCCTGCCCCCCCCCCCCAATCTCCCACCCCCCAACCCTTCATAGCCAGCGACAGGGCCCCAGGTGCAGTTGCACCGCCTGCACACTCGCTGCATCAGCTGTGCACACTGAACGACGACAACGGGACGGTGGCGTGGGAACCGCGGAGACGTCGTTGGCACCCCCGATCGCCCCCCGTGCTCTCGTTACGTTTTTGCAGCAATTTCCACGAAGATGCGCGTCGCTTTCGCCGCTGATTCAATTAGGCGCGTTATTTTTTTTTTTGCATTTAATACCTGAATTTTTCTCGCCGCAGTCAAACATTGATTTAATTTACCCTCCCGTTAACTGAACGTATTAATCAATGCGAACGAGACAGTGCGTAATTAGTACTGTATGATGATAATAATAATTAGTAATAATAATAACCGCAACGGCGCACGAGCATGGTGCGTGAAATTAATTTCGTGTACTCAAAAACCCGACAGCATCCCAAAAAATTAACAGAATGGATATTTCTTTCCCCCCACCACCCACCCCCTCTACCCCCCCCCCCAAACCCACTAATAACACCTACATAAATTAACACACGACCATCAACGGCGGGGGGAAGATTGCGCCCCGTTACTTAATGGCGTAGCGCCGCACTCCCTAAGCCTTTCATTGAACAGCCCAGTGAACAAAGCTATCCGGGAGAAGTCACACGTGGCGAGTTAAATGGATCTCTTGGTGACCCCCCGGCCCATGCCTCAGCAGCTGTCGTGTGCGCCCGCCACCGCCACCGCCGCCGCGTATAGATATCTCATCCTCAACATTTCCAGCGTAACACCCACGGCGCTTTGTCCACTACCGAAGCGCTGATCCACCAGCGCCGCACACCGCTCGCTTCCCCAGCTCGCTCCGCTCCTCACCTCCGGTTTTTAGGCAAGAGGGGGGGGGGGCGTGGAATCAATAACGCCTCCCGCCTAGGGAATGCGGGAATAGGGGGCCGTGGTCTGGCGACCAAGACAAAGGCTCCCGGAGAGGGAGATTAAAGAACAGGTAACCCCCCCCCCCTCAACGTCACCACCGCCCCCCCCCCCCACCCCGGAGTGAGCCAATCGTGTTAACCCAGCAAAGCCAAATCCAAACGCAGCCCGTTTGTCTTTGTTCCCCGGGCTTCGTGACACGCGCACGTGGGGGGCCCACGTGGGGGCGGCCCGAGAGCCACCGCGCCTCGTCTGCGTGATACACTTTGTCACCGAGTTAGGGCGCGTGTTCACGTGCGTTGTACACTACGTCACGGAGTTGTGGTGCGTTTGATGTAAATTATACACTGCATAACGAAATTAGCGGCTTTAATATACATGATGCACCACGTTACGGTATGCCCGTGCATTTGAAATACATCATCAACTACGAAATGATTTTCTGCCGCATTTCGCATGCTTCTCATACATATTTACAAAACTGCGTTTTCAACGGACTGTACGTTAATCGCAGTAGGCGCTCATCGACAACCGATTTTCCGGCGTCACACCTCAACTTGTTGAGATTTTGTCTACCACCTTTTAGCGCATGCACTCACGCACCCACCCACCCACGTACCCACCCACCCACCCACGTACCCAACGCACCCACCCACCCACGCACCGAACAGCCCACCCACGAACCCACCCACGCACCCAACCACCCACCCACGTACCCACGCACCCACCCACGCACCCATCCACGAACCCACCCACGCACTCACCCACCCACGCACCGAACCGCCCACCGACATACCCACGCACCCACCCACGCACCCACCCACGTACTCACGCACCCACCCACGCACCCATCTACGTACCCACGCACCCACCCACGCACCCACCCACGCGTGCCAGCGCGCCGTTTTAATTTGAACCGGCGCATCCCATTGTGCCATTTCGCCCTCGCCGACATGCACACCGGGCCCCTACCGCCCAACATCAACCGCTGTAACCACGAGCAAACGGGACAACAACGATAGCAACGACGACAACAACCACAACAGCAACAACAACAACGACAGCAACAACAACGACAACAACAACAATAACAACGATAATAACAACCACAACAACAACGACAACAACGACGACAACCACAACAACGACAGCAACAACAACGACGACGACAACAACCAAAACAACCGAACATTTGAAATTCCTCTCCGCTCAGCCCCCTCCCGCTGTCGCCCCACCAACAGTTTCGCGCGGCTGCCCGTCACCGTTTTGTGTGTGTGCCGATCACCCCGCACAGCCGCACCACTGCAAGGCCCCATTACCCGGGCCATATGGCCTCGCAATTGACCCTTGGACGCGCGCGCGGCACCTCCAATTTTTTCCGAGCTCGACTGCCGCCCCATTACGTGATTAAGGGTGCGCTGGGCCCCTCTCCCCGAGGATAAAACACCAAAACGCTTGGGGGTTTGTGCGCGGGGACATTGATTAAATCCCCGTGCAGTGTGCGTAGATACACGTGCACACATACGTAACATATACGTAATATATATGTACGCAAACTCAATACATTCCGTCGTAAAAGAAAGAAATATATCTATATAGTCGATGACAGAATCAGAAACGTTATTCATCCTGGAGAAATCCCATGAGCCACGATGCTCTTTTCAAAGAGCAAAGGGCACGGGGTTGGAAAGTTGCAACGACGACGTTTCGGGCAATGTCCATGTTTCATGGCCCTTCTTTTTCGCAGCTAGTGAGCGATGTGCGATGAAGAAGCGCTATTGTCGGGACAAGTCACTGATTATATATATTATTTTTTTCCATTTTAAGGCCAGGCGGTGTTATCTGACGAGTTGCGTTCGGACTGTGTGTTGCTGCACGCCACTGCCGACGCAGCAGCAGCAGCAAATTATTTGTCCCCGTGTAGCTTGCTGGCCCCCGGAACGCTCTTCCACAAGATATCAGGGATCTATCCGAGCCTCTGGACACTAATAAAAAGAAATGCGTCTTAAAACCAATTTATACCCTTCCGCTTATTAAACTTTTAGTTAATTCAGGGAATAGATTATAATGTAATTATGTGTTATGCTGAGTGTCTGATGCTACTGCTTCCGTGTCCCATACAGCGCTTTGAGATCCTTGATGAAAAGCGCTAAAATCAATGGGATTATTATTCACAATTCAGAGTTATTTTGGGTTAGATCACGTAAATATATGTATGTGTCGTTAAACCCGGCACCACCCGACACAGCCAATTAGTAACCTGACGTATATGTGACAAAGCTTACTAATTGGCTGTGTCGGGTGGTGGCGGGTTTAACGACACATGATAATGGTCGCGAAAGCCTACGTGTTAAACGGAATTATTATTTTTGTCTGAGTCAGCGAGGAACGGCAGACAAGGAATGGAACGCATCGGAGAGGAAGGTGGCGCACAGCGGTGGACGGCAGAGCGCAGTGCAGCAAAGATGATGCATTGTTGTACTCTACTACTACGTTCCCGCGTCGTCTCCGCTCCCCGCCTTCACCAGCTCGCACCGACCGCCGCGGTGAAGTGTGGTCAAATCACAACCCGCGACCCCACACGGCATGTGGGAAACGCTCATCCAGCAGTGGATTGACAAAGCGCCGTGCATGCACACATTACCATTACCGTTATCATTCACTACGCACGTATACATCACACCGACAGTAACATACACGTGCAAACTTGAAGCGTGTCAAAGACGAGACGCACCTCGAGCTCACAACGACGATGATGATGATGATGATTTGACGAGCCTGACTTTCTGCGACGTTCCTCATTCAGCATCAGCACGTGGGCAGCACATTGCGCACTGCCCCTTTCGTTCCGATTGTTTACCGCAAACCGGCGCCATTTGTGCGGTCAGATATTTGCAAAAATTACCCCTCTGAAGCGCCGCCGCTTTACGACTGTAAATCACCACAATTTGACTCCATTACCGTGCTCAGTGCACGACGAAGGAAATGCGGCTTCCTGCATTAAACTAATTGCATTATGGCCACTCTGGCTGTGAAAAGACCCATAACATCCCACCAAGGACCGATACAAGAGGACGTCCGGAATATATTACGTTTTACAACCAATCTGTGTCGTCACAGCAAGTAACCCTTATGAGAAAAACACACACACATTATAAATGAGCTATGCGCGGTATTTATAAATTAAGAGGCGAGTGTGAGCTTTTGTGGAGGGGGAGGGGGGCGGGGGATTGGGGAAAGAAGCCCACGACAAGATTGCGGGAATTTCTAAACGTTCGTGCAGAAAGGCCGTTGATATTTCGATATTTAAAGAGGCGGTGACGATAAGCGGCAATCTTGGTGGCCGGGAGCCCTCGGCAGCGCTGACTCGGGGTGGGCTGATGTGAAAGGCCGGGGCCAGAGAGATAGACTGTCCGGTTGAAAATAATCTGTCCAGACTGTGGGATTGTATCAAGCAAAGGAGAAATAGTGTTTCTCGTGGCCAAAATTGAATCAGGTGGAATTGGAGCGCGGACGCGCGCGTGCGTGCAGGCGCGCGCGGGTTTCTATGGCGGCGGTGGTGCCCGATCAGCTCGGCTGAAACGGCACGCCGCAGATGGCTCGCTCTGGATTTGTTACCCGAACGGGAGGTGAGGGGGGGGGGCTGAGCGGCGGCGTTAAACAGCGGGGGGAGATGAGGCCGAGGGCCTGGCACACGAGCACTGCTGCCCGCGGCACTCACCATGGTAAGGACAGAAAAAAGACTAAAGTTCCAAAAGCGTGTAAATATATTTCAAAAAAGATTGCAGCGCGTTGCAACACTCTCGACCGGACAGCGTCGTAACGGGAGCGACTGTCACAGCGCCTGACCGATGGCACGGGGAGGGGGCACGCGCCTGCCATCTACGGCTACATCACGCGGCCACGCCGAGTTTTGCCGTAAATGTTGCGGTCCAAGTGCCCCCCCACCCCCCCTCCCTGTCCGTTTGTAGCAAATGCATTGGGCTTGTATTTCACAGCGTCGACGGCTCCAGAAATGGCCACTGCAATTGACCGAGTGATTAAACATTTCCTCCCCGAGCCGCCACTAACACCGCCCCCCCGCCCCCTCTCCAAGCTTCAAACCCATAAAATTAACTCATTCGCTGCGGGCGCTTTGTCCGCACGAGCCGAAAATGCCTCGGTCCAAATCACAGGGCCCACAAAGGGGCGCCAATGCCCGATTCGCGATTCTCGGACTCTCGCGATTCGCGCTCGTCGACTCGGCGCGGCTCGGCGCGGCACTCACAATGGGCTGGTCATTCCGGCGAGCGGAGAGATGAGGTGCCAAGTGCCCTCCACCCTGAATCTTAGCTCAGTTTGAGCTGGTCCCGGGGGCTACGCGGAATCGGCGGTGATGGACACGGCGATGGCGCTCGTGGGCGCGCACATCCACGTGAGCCGAGCTCGCCCCCTCGCTCACTCGCTTGCCTGCGCACACGGACGGATGGAAGGACGGGAGGGTGGACACACACACGCACGCACCGCACAGCGACGTCACTGTCAAGGTGGTGTCTGTAGTTCGGCGGTGGCACCTGGGAGAGAGTCAGTGTGCCTAGACACAACTCACGCATATCGAGGAGACGACATTCAAAGCCACGCAACGGACAGATTTAATAATCCGTCACTGAATAATGCATCGCAGAGCGTTAGTTGTGTTTAGTTAGATGTCCTTCCCCCGCACCTCCGTTTATCACGGTGGGTTACGTACGGTGCGAGAAAAGTTCAACGTAAATACAGAGCTTCTCTCTGTGGTGTGGTCATGTCAGAAGAATGCTGCCAAACAGGAATCCAGGAAAACGTGATGCCAATGTTGGTGGAAGGTAACAGAGGCAAATGACATCTGAGAATGAAAACTCATTTCTTTCCAACAGCTTTTTGTATTTAGTTTGTTGTCCTTCCCCCGCACCTCCGATTAGCGTACGGTGCAAAAGAAGTTCAACGTAGAGTACATGGATACGAGAAAAAGAGAGACTGCTGGAATGGTGGGCTCTAAAGTCGAGGAATTACACGGGGACATCAGCAACAGATGGGGTATGATCGCTAACAATGGAGGATTGGAGCTGCTGTCAGAGGTTTGTGGACCCAGTTCATATGACCTCCATCACCCATTTAATACATTTATTTTACGTAATTTAATTTCGGAATTTTTATTCACAGAACTTAACTCAATTTTGAACACTCAAGTGTATAATTTTTTTACAAAATAGCCCTCATTAAGACATTTTGCTTTTAAAACCATTACACGGCAGTGTTTAACCTTCCTTTAGAGCGTTCCTAGGTGGCACAATTAAAAAATAAAAGACAGAGGAGCCACATGGCACTCGTTTAAATGGAAATTCACATGGAATACAGGCATGAGACACACGCTGCTTTGACATCCGTTTTTATCCCAGGAGAACAGAATATCTAATAATAATACCCTTTAAGGTGTCCACGGAAAGCTTCACTGAGTCACAAGACTGTTTTTTTTTCAAGAAGGGTCTTGCATTTGCACGTCTGGTTAGTTATATTCATGAGCGATTGAGCACGTGGCAGGACAGCTGGGGACCCGGATAAATCCACGCACACAAGGAAGAGCGCAGTACTCGGAGCTGCACACGGATACATTTAATGCACAGATTCAATCCAATGAATTGTCCGTCGAAAAAAGCTTTGTAGTTCATCGGATTCCTCCAGTATAAATAATCTGGTTCTGAATCATCAGTATATCAACCCCACGTGCCATGCTGCCATCTACTGGTCACCTCGGAGCTCCAACCGACGATTGCGGCCATGCAACTCAAACTATAGACCACGTAAGTAAACCCATAGAGACAGCCCGGAGACTCAGAGACACATAGAGAGACCCATAGAGATGCATTAAAGACAAGGCACAGTGCGATCGTGGCCATACAATCAAAATACGGACCATAACAGCAAACCACTGTAGTCTACGCTCCTTCAACGGGTGAGGAGGTCCAGCAAAACGACACGAATTCTATCCTGAAGCCCTCTCGTTGTGGCTAGCAGACCTCGACATTGGCACTTAGCTCCTGAACCACACTGCCGTGTGACGCAAGAACAGCTCCAAACTTGTACAACTATCCAAAGGACTCACCAGGCTCAACAGAAATCCTGCTCAGCTTCCGAGAGGCGATATCCGGCGCACTCGGGGTTAGACGATTCGCTCCGAGCCTCGGAAAGTGGTCGCGGGGGGGGGGGGGTGGCGACTCTCTCGCCGCGCATCGGGCAGCGTCTGCAGATGCGGTGGGCAACGTGGAGCGCACTGAACGTGACGCCAGGTTCGTCGTCTGGCCACTAAGCTGCGTCCGCCGTTTCGTCTGGCTCCGATGTCTTTGTCGAATGCCGCCGTCATAAATAGCGGCATCGGGGGCACCTTTCGACGAATATTGCCTCCAATGCCCGGTTAGGCAGAGTGAATTTAACTTTTCAAACGCCGCTCGCTTTTCCCCAGAAGAACGCGAGATGGTCGTGAGCGGCTGACTTCACGCCACAACATCGAAAATAAAAGCACGGGGTTTGAGCCTCCGCTCCACCCCTCCCCTTCACCCCTCCAACCCTCCCCTTCAACCCTCCACCCCTCCCCTCCATCCCTCCACTCCTCCCCTCCACCCCTCCACCCCTCCCCTCCATCCCTCTACTCCTCCCCTCCATCCCTCCACCCCTCCCCTCCATCCCTCATGCTCATTTGCCACCCTTGACTTGGCCGCCAAGTTTATTGAGATCCATGCCTCTGTGACCAGATCGACATGGATGTGGCCGATATTAGCAGATCTTAAGAAGCAAAGCAGGGTTGAGCCTGGGCGAGAGCTTTATGGTACTTGGATTGGAGGCTGCTTGAGAATGCCAGGTTGTGTAAGCTTGGGATTTGACGTGGCCAGAAAATGCCTGTGTAGCTAGGTTGATTATTGGATCCGTCTGTGCAGAGCATTGAGTGTTGTCCCCGAGTGCGTGACGTGGCCAGGAAATCCCTGTCTATCTATGGATTATTGGATCCATCTGTGCAGAGCACTGAGCGTTGTCCCCGAGTGTGCGTGTCTTTCTCCAGGCACTCCGTGTTTCCTGCCACTCGTTAATGGAATTGGCCAAACGTCCACATTTTCAGGTGCCCGCTCTGTAAAATATTCTTGAGTCTCAAGTTTACGCTTTCCGAGGTACGCCCAATAAATACAAACAAGAATACAAATTTAAATTCATCAAGTAGTTTAAAGCAATACATTCGGGTGTGCGTCAGGCCAGGGAGACGCGCTAGAGAGAAGAGAGAACGAGTCACACGGCGGACACACTACAGCAACTGGAGCCCAGCACCACCACCAACAACAACAACAACGACGACCGCAACAACGAGCCCTCGGGACAACCAGGTCAGCCAGGGTAGCAACCAACGAAGTCCCCTGACAACCTTTAGGGCCCCTGTTACCAAATGAGTCCCGTGGCGCGATCGTTATAACACCGTCTGCTGTATCCTTCCGCGCGCGGCACGCGTATCTGGGGAGTTTGAAATGGCACTGAAAATGAGAAAAGTCCGGGCCCCTAAAAATCATGGCACATTCCGATCACCCGCCAGTCAACGCGATGTAATTATTCGTGGATTGATCTATCCACTGCTGGACGGGGGGAACGGGGGGCAATTAGGGGCATTTGATTTGGTGTTTGGTCACTCAATGTCCGTCTCTCCTGGTTCCTCTGCTGCTGATGCTGCTGCTGGATGAAGGCTTCCTCCGTGCCGTGCAAGTCATGGGTTGCTGTTTAACCATACTTCACCAGACTTCGTAGAGGGGAGACGCACGTCTGGCTTAGACGGTTAACCACTCGTCACTCACGTTAGCTGTGGCCCCGAATAAAACCGAGTACAGTCCATCGCGCATTGCGCTAATCACTGCGTCACCGCTCCGCCATCACCACGTAATAACTCGTAATTGGCTTTGGAGGGAGCAGATGGCGTGCTTTGCAAAACACACTCATCTGCACCTCGTCCTGTGCGTGGAGGGTTCTTTGTTTAATTACTATTATGTATTTATTTTCGCTGCAGATCGACACCGCGCGTTGTTTTTTACTCATTCGGGACGTGACTACCCCCCCCACGTCCCAGCCCCCCCGCCCCTGCCCCCCACGAGCCTCTGCCCCCCCCCCTTACAGCGCGGCCCCGGCACGCGGAATGGAATGTGAAGAGTCGCTCTCCGCGCGGGGATGTTGATTGCGGGGATGACGGATTGTTTCAGATGTTCCGCGAGAAAGGAAATCCTCTGACTATTCTTTTCATCAGCCTCCCCAGTCCTGCGTGTCGCCCCCCCCCTCCCTTCCCCCTCTTTTCGAACCGAATGATCGCCGCGTTTCTCGCTGTTTGTTCCTCGAGCCGAGGGAGAGAGAGGCGCACGCGGGGGGGGGGGGGGAGTCTCTGAAATGTTCGACGTTGGCGAAGAAGGACAGAGAGGATGAAGAAGGGGCGACGATTCGCGTCTTTATGCCGAATTTTTAGCGGTGCCGTGGCGCGCGTTCAAAACGAAGCAAGAAAGGAAGCCAATCACCACCACCACCACAATCACGACCACCACATCACAAGCACCAGCAACCATCAATACCACAATCAACATCACCACCAACCACCACCAACCACCACTATCACAATCAACCACCAATACCACAACCACCACCAATCACCACAATCACCACCACCAACCACCAACACTATCACAATCAGCACCACCACAACCACCACCAATCACCACCACCACTATCACAAGCACCACCAACCACCAATACCACAATCACCATCACCACCAACCACCACCAACCACCACTATCACAATCAACCACCAATACCACAACCACCACCAACTACCACAATCACCACCAACCACCATCATCGCGGTGACTTTGCGTTCATCTGTGTTCATATTTTAAATCTAGATATATATTTTTTATTTTTTACCCGAGACCACCAAAGTCAAAGACTCCGGCGGCGTGGAGGTGTTCACAAAAGAGCCACGACCCTCAGACCGATGCCGCGAGACGTACAGCCACATCCGTGGTCCACGCCGCCAGTGATTTAACGTGGCCACCCCTCCAGCGTACGGCGGGCGAAAATGTCGTTCCAAGTACGAGGTGGGGGCTGCGGTTCATGACGGCAGTAAAATTACCACGCAGGTGAGGACAGCCGTGTTCTCTCGTTAGGGCAAATTATCCAAGACGAGACGTGAAGGTATTAAACACGGAGCGCGCTACGTCCTCCCGCGCCTCGCGGAAAGGTCACTCCTCCTCCTCATCCTCCTCATCCTCATCCTCCTCATCATCTTCCTCCTCATCCTCCTCCTCCTCACTCTATTCTCCTCCTCATCCTCCTCCTCATCCTCATCCTCCTTCTCATCCTTCTCAATCATCCTCCCCCTCATCTTCCTCACCCTCATCCCCCTCATCACCTCCTCACC